AGTGTTCAGGACCTGCTATGATGTCTGGACATTTAAGCAAGAATAGAGTTGGTTGTTTGGGTTTTCCTGTTTTTAAAAACGTTTGGGGTTTGTGCGTTAAAGATAGTGCATGAAAGTTTAAAGGTTTAGTAACGGAGATTGACATAATTGCTGATTTGAGACGTAATTGATTTTTTTAATCTCAAGCAATAGACAGATGGATTGAAGTAGTTTGAAGGATGGTGAAATCAGTGACCAGAAGTTTGTTTAATGTATAATGGATAGATGCAAAGAACAACAGCATAGCTGGGGACAAGTTAGGAATGCATTCTGTGATTTCATTCTTTACAGATGTAATCAGGGAAAAAGTGTGGTAAGTCTGCAAAAAGATTGCTGAAGTAATTCAGAAGCACAACAAGAGCCGCAGTGATACTTCTAACTGTACAGATGGATAGAAGAGATCTTGAGAGTTCAGAAACTCCTGGAAAAATTATTTATTATTTGTTACATATGAAGTGGACCTAAAGGTAACCTAGTGAAGGCCTAGAGCAATCAGTGAAGCAGATTTTGGTCTCTTTGCAGTGTCCCATCAGGTAGAGATACAGTGACAAATTATAACAAAGTGAAAAAACTGTGGTGACTACTTACAGATAATCTGCAGTAGTTTGAAATGGAAGTGAGAAAACCAAGGCTTTATGCAGCTTTTATGGAAAGATATTAGAATTAGAGAGGGGTAAATGCTTACTTATAAGTTCTCCAGTGTAATGTTTTGTGTGGTTTCACTTCTGAGTGTCCTTCATCTTTGACTATTGAACCATTTTCATGTTTAGAATAATGTTGAAACTTGAAAGAAAAATTCTGCGTCTAAGAGACTGATGTACTGAATGGATCTGTAAAACAGTATCAGTTAACTTTTCTGAAGGGCAAAAGAATTCCATGTGTTCCTTATAGACAAAATGGATTTAAAGTGAAGTTCTGAGAGCAGTATGAACTGAAAATGTGCTTACTGTATAGCTTCATTGTGATGTTATTCCTTTGGATTTTAAGGTTATTACCTTGTTTATTCATAATGGACTTCCCTATTTAAAAAAAAAATAAAGATTGAGGTGCACTGTGGGGAGGGAAATCTAACCTGTATTTTGAGGACTTAATTTTTTTGTGTTTTCTGCTTCTTAGCTACAATTGAGTCAGTGTTTAGTGGCTAAGTAAAATTTTTTTTAAAAAAGGTAAAACACTTTCAGACAGGGTTTCTCCACTTGATGAATGTGCATCTGATGCCTTTTTAGCTACAATATACTTGTTCTTCTTTCAAGTTAAGCTATAGTACAACAAAGTAGGAAGAATGCATAGGTGTATGAATTTGGACTAAGCAAGATTAAAATCACAGTTGTTAAGCTTAAGTGCACTAGTAAAAAAAAAAAATCACAACTTTTAACACCTTGATTTTGCGTGGAGCTTCTGAGCAGTTAACTGTAAGAGCAAAATCTCATTCTGTTCCTCAGATATTGACAACATGAAAATTGAGCAGTTATATGTATGGCCTGCCTTTTAGTTTGGTTTGGCACATGCTACTTCCAGTTTTTACGTAATTGTCACCTATGTGATGCGTAAAGACAAAGAGGGCAAACTGAATCCAAAGGTATTTTTCATGTTAACAGTTAATATCAATGCACAGTCTGAAAATTCAGGTTGATAATGATTTTAAAATCTGTTGTTGTTCCTAGTTTAAATATGAACACATGACTGACAGCTTGGGTAAATGTAAAAGTTAACGTTTTCCTTTTTTGTTTGGTTTGTTTTTATTTTTTTTTTAATTTTATTGACCTGCTTACAAGTTAGTTTTATGTTTATTTCAAGAACATATATTATTTTGCTTTCTTTGATTTTTCTAACATTAATCTGTTTCTTCTTGCTTTCTTCAAACATTTGATAAACCTTTATTAAGCTCAAATAAAGCTTGAAAAGGAGTCTGACACTTTTCAAACTTACAAAAACAGAACTGTAACACTTTAGGAAAAGAAGAGAGGGGAAAAAAAATTAACAGATGGTTTCCCAGAATTTCTACAGGCATCTTTGTTAGTCAGATTTTCATAATGACTGTCAATTACAGCATTTGTTTGGTGGGGTTTTTTTTGTAAAATAAATATAAATTCTCATAAAGCAAATGAGAACTTAATGATAATATTTTAGTGCTAGGCTTTTGCATAAGAAGTAGGTGAGAAGGGCTCTGCATTCTGTTCAGTCTAAGGGTTTTTGAATCCAGTGTTCTCACTGTTCAGGTGAATGTATAGTGAGCAGGGGTGTAAACTGCTTAAGTCTTTAGGAGAATTTAGTTTGCCTAAAGAACAAATGGCAGAACAGATACTATAAAGAGTGTACAGATAAATCTATTTCTTTAAGATAACTTTGTTTAGTAAGTTGCTTTTTGAAGTGGGAATTGTATGTCTCTTGTAAGGCAGTCTATCCTTACTGTATCATTTTAAGATCAGATCTGTATACCTCACACATTTGTGAAAACGATATGTTACTTTGTACTGTCACAGTTTTATTTTAAAGCTCTCTTTTCTATCGCTGAAGCCTTGCAGGAAGCTTACAAGAGTCAAACTAGTTGATGAAGTGCAGCAGTGATTTTTAACCGTTTGAGGCTAGAAACAGGCTAAAAAGTACAAGATTAAGGTTTAAAGAACTTGTGGAACTAGATATGAAGAAAGATGCAAAAATAGCAGTTTATACTTCTGGTAGAGTGTGTGTTGCTTTTTGCTTTTTAAACCTGTATAAATATTCAATTCTTCTCTGCAATTCCAGGGCAGCTGAAATCCTCTACTCCTTGGCTTTGGTACAGTCCAGTAGATCTGAGAAGATGAGTGTATTTCCTTCAGTAGAGAACTATAAATTGCTGACAGAAGCTAGGAGGAACCTTGGACTCTTTCAGCATCATGATGCTATTACAGGAACATCTAAAGATTGGGTAGTTGTGGATTATGGCACTAGGTAATTTATTATAAATATATAAACTTAAGTCTTAGTTTCCCTTTGCTTTTTTACAGCAGAGGTATTTATGTGGAGATAAAGGTTTGCTATAGCTAGCAGCATACTCGGTACTGAAAGGGTAGTGGTGCTTTACAAGAAAAGTGGATTTGATTACCCCTGCTCTTCATTTATGAAATATTTTTTTAATCCTCTGAAGTAGGAATTTGATGTCCAAACAAAATTTCTGAGGTTTCAAAAGAAACTAGGTAGACACAATACCAAGATTTCTTTAATAACATGGCTGCTATTTTCTGCAGTAACTATCGTACAGGAGAACATTTTATATCTGCCTGTGCTAAGCAATGATCAAGATACATGCTAATTTAAGTATATATTATTTGGAAAATGCCATGCCCTTTGTAACCTACCTTTCTTCCATGTGGGAAATCTTTTTCATGTTGCCAGTCTTCTACTTAATTTGTCTGTTGTTGTTTATTGCTGTTATATCTGATGGGTAGTTGCTTTCTCAGTATTGACAAACCGTTCTGCTAGCTGCTTTGCGGGATTTTTTTTGAAGACGACCGTATGATATATGTGTATTTATGTTTATGTATGTACATATATGCTTTAATTATTTATTCAGAAAAAATATATGTACATATTGAGTTAGATGATGGTAGATGGTTGATGGGTAGAGAACTTGGTTATGCAGTTGGTTTTGCTTTTTTCACTTTAAAAATAAAATTGCGCAGCTCTCTATTTAAGAATTTGTAAACCAGATGTTGGCTGAAGCAATGGAAATAATGGTAATTTAAATTTTTGTGTTTCTGATTGCTTTTCTAATTCTGCTTAAAGGCAATCTTGACTTCGACACGAGCATTTCAGGCTTGTTGCCACTGTAGATACTGGAAATGAAACATAAAACACAAACTTTCCTAAGATTAGCATTTTGAAAAAGTACTTGGTATTTTGAGGGTATACGTTTTGTAACATAACAGTGAGGTGGAGTTTAAGCATGCAAGGCAGGAAAATAATGAAATTAAAAATATTTCTGCATTTTGCAGTCTGGTCACCCATTGAAACTAGCTGTTCTTAATTTCATGCTATACTGATATTAAAAATCACATTTATTTTTCTGTAACATACTTTTGAGCTCTTTAATATTTTTAAATTTTGATGTTATCACATTGAATAAAACCAACTGAAAACTAACTAGGACTTCAAAACTTTTAACAGGCTTTTCCATTCAATAATGAACTTGAAGAAAGTGATAGTTGACTCTGCTCATATTCTTGTCCTAAAGGATAAAGGTGCTTATAATTATGACACATCAACTCCATTCCTGAAGATGGTGAGCTATCTCTCTTGATTTTCTCTAAAAATAAAGTGTGAACTATGTCTTTTCAATACAGTTTGAGTGGCCTGGGAAAAGTCAGAATGAAATTTATTATACTTGCTCAAAAGTCTGCTACTTAATATAAACAGTGATAATTGAAGATGTTGGAAAGTAGAAAGTGAAAGCTTCAGCAGTTAATGCTGAAAAATCTCCACACATCTAAAGTGGACTTATTTTGTTCCACTTTATGAATCACATATTAAAACCAGGTGTTCTAATTTTCTTGTGGGCATAAATTTGTTGGTGACTTCAGTGACATGCATATAGTCAGTGAATATATAATAGTATGCAGTCCTGAAATTTGACTTCGCCAACAAGGCGAGGAGGTGGAGTTGCTCTTTATGTGAGAGAGCAATTAGAATGGATTGAGTTCTGGCCAAGGGTGGATGAGGAGTGGGTTGAGAGTTTGTGGGTGAGAATTAAGGAGCAGGCTAGCATGGGAGATACTGTTGCGGGTGGCTATTACAGGCCACCTGATCAGGATGAGGAAGTTGATGAGGCCGCCTACAGGCATCTGACAGCAGCCTCACAATCACAGGCCCTGGTACTTGTGGGGGATTTTGACTACCCAGATATTTGCTGGAAGGCCTATACAGCTAGCCATTCGCAGTCCAGGAGGTTCCTTCAGTGCATCAGTGATAACTTCTTGATCCAAATGGTGGATAAGACAACTAGGAGAGGAGCACTGCTGGATCTTATACTAAAAAGCAGGGTCTGGTTGAAGCAGTGAAGGTTGAGGGCAACCTTGGCCGCAGCGACCATGAGATGGTGGAGTTCAGGGTCTTGTGTAGTAGGAACAGAATACCAAGCAGGATCACAACCCTGGACTTCAGCAGGGCCAAATTTGGCCTTTTCAAGCAATTGCTAGGGGAAATCCCATGGGACAGGGTACTAGAAGGTAAAGGGGCCCAAGAGAGTTAGTTTATATTCAAGGACCACTTTTTCCAGGCTCAAGATCGGCGCATCCCAGTGGGTAGGAAATCAAGAAAGGGAGCCAGGGGCCCTGCATGGTTAAACAGGGAACTAATGGGTAAACTCAAGTGGAAGAAGAGAGTCTATAGATCTTGTAAGGAGGGGATGGCTGCTTGGGAGGAATAAAAGACTGTTGTCAGAAGATGTAGGGAGGCAACTAGGAAAGCTAGGGCCTCCTTGGAGTTAAAACTTGCAAGGGAGTTCAAGGACAGAAAGGGCTTCTTCAAATACACTGCAGACAAAACTAACACTAGAGGCCATGTAGGCCCACTGTTGAATGAAGCAGGTGCCCTGGTGACAGAGGATACAATGAAGGCAGAGTTACTGAATGCCTTCTTTGCCTCCATCTATACTGCTGGGCGCTGTCCTCAGGAACCCCAGACCCCTGAGGCCCCAGAGGAAGTCAGGATAAAGGGCGAGTTTGACTTGGTTGATGAGGACTGAGTTAGGGATCAATTATGCAAGCTGGACATAAATAAATCCATGGACCCTGATGGGATGCACCCATGGGTGCTGAGGGAGCTGGTGGAAGGCATTGCTAGACCACTCTCCATCATCTTTGGTAAGTCATGGGGGACAGGAGAGGTGCTTGAGGGCTGGAGGAAAGCAAATGTCACTCCAGTCTTCAAAAAGGGCAAGAAGGAGGACACTGGAAACTATAGACCGGTCAGCCTCACCTCCATCCCTGGAAAAGTGATGGAACAACTTCACCTCGGTGCTGTCTCTAGGCATATGAAGGTTGAGAAGGTCATTAGGAGCAGTCAACATGGCTTTATCAAAGGGAAGTCATATTTGACCAGCCCGATAGCCTTTTATGAAGACATAACCGGGTGGATAGATGATGGTGGTGCAGTGGATGTGGTTTATCTTGATTTCAGTAAAGCATTTGACGCAGTCTCCCACAGCATCCTCGCTGCTAAACTGAGCAACTGGATGATCGGGTAGTGAGGTGGATTGTGAATTGGTTGAAGGAAAGAAGTCAGAGAGTTGTGGTCAATGGGGCAGAATCTAGTTGGAGACCTGTATCTAGGGGAGTCCCTCAGGGGTTGGTACTGGGACCAGTACTATCCAATATGTTCATCAATGACCTGGATGAGGGAACAGAGTGCACTGTCAGCAAGTTTGCTGATGACACATTGGAGGAGGGGCTGACACACCAGAAGGCTGTGCTGCCATTCAGAGAGACCTGGACAGGCTGGAGAGCTGGGCAGGGAGAAATTTAATGAATACAACGAGCGCAAGTGTAGAGTCTTGCATCTGGGAGAGAACAACCCCATGTACCCAGTCTAGGTTGGGGACTGAGCTGTTGGAGAGTAGCGTAGGGGAAAGGGACCTGGGGGTCCTGGTGGACAGCAGGATGACCATGAGCCAGCAATGTGCCCTCGTGGCCAAGGCCAATGGCATCCTGGGGTGTATTTTAAACAAACAAAGAAAAAGTTCAAGTAGTTCTTTATACATTTTACCAGTTTGATACTAATATATATGTGCATGTGTGTGCTATGTGAGTGTGTGCCACACATGTCATTTTTCTCCTGGTTGGAAAGCTTAACAAAGTGAATATGCATCTTCATAAGGTAGAGTATTTTAAAGTTGTTCATGGGGCAGTGCTCTGAATTACATTGGAGGATATTGTGATGTTACATTTTACTAGACTTCCATTGTTCCTGTTCTTTATGAGTCTGGAATAATACCACTGGACTGTAAAAGTACTAATTGCTGTTTAAACTGTATGTTGCATAGGAGCATACTAAGTCAAACCCACTATTACCACTGTGAAAGCAGAAATGAAAAAGAAAGTTCTTGCTTCAGTGAATTCATTGTATCTATATAAAATGTGGTGAAAAAAGAAGGTCATTACATAAGTAGATTATGATTTATCTGTATGATATAGAGTAACTGCAGCATATCATAAAGATAATATGACAACTATACTTTGGTTACCACCAAAACCTGAAATTTTTTTAATGTGGGATTTGTAAAATGCTAATGGGAGAACTTCAGGATATTTACAAAAACCCTTTTGCAAGCCTTGAGCAAGTAGAAAAGGCACTTGTTTAAAAATACTGTTGATATGTTTTGGCAGCTGATAGAAGGTGAGTGACATCAAGGATTGCTCAGAGATGGGCATTCAGAATGAATGCTGAGAGAAATGAGAAAGACAAACGATGAATACTTTAAGATTGAAAGTGGCTGGGTTTGAAGGAAGCAGAAGGAAAGAGGGCATTGTCAAAGGGACAGAGCAAGAGACTGTAGCAGCGTTCCAGTAGGTATTAGGTCTATAACAGGGAAAAATTGCCCTTCTTGAAGCCAGAAAAAAGGAAGCTGGAAATAAGACGTGATGGAAGGGTTCCAGAATGACACTGCTTGCACTGTTTTTCTGGTATTCTTAACTATTAGTTATACACAAAAGCATCATGTTTTTTTCAGCTAATAACTGAGTACTTTGTACATTGTGCTACTTTTTCAGACTTTACATTAATAAACAAACAAAAACTAGCTTGCTTGGAAGACAAGTGAAAAATAGACAAAACTTAGAGATTCCCAAATGATTCAACCAATGAGGTCCAACCTATAAAAGTAAAGCTATGCAACCATTGCACCATTCCTGTATATTAGTCTTATTTTTTTGAGTGCAGAAATAAAACTTTCATGTAAGGGACAATAGTTGGGTTTGAAAAACATGATTTTGAGGGTGTTTTGGAGTTTTCTGAGGAACTGGGAGCTTTGCGCTTCAGTTGCAACATCTGTAGTTGTCACCATTGTATGAACCAATAGGAATGTAACAGTACGTGAATAGCCTGGCTATTCTCTTAAAAGACTAATGCAATAGTGACAGCAATGGCTGTTCACTACCTTTTCTCACTGGAAGTGAGCCCTGAGTCATATTGTAGTTAAGAAAAGAGAGAAACTTTTTGAAGTTTATATGGAAAATAAGAATTCATCAATATTGTGAAATAATTCCTCAATTAGTTTCCATCACATAAACATCATACACACATCCAAATTATGTTTTTTGAAAAAATTTTTTATGTACAATAAGGTAACAATGAGATCAGTCAGAAGACTAAACTCTGCATCCTTGTGACAAATATACAGGAGTGTAGGGTTTCAGAGAGTAAATTTATAGCTTGAGAAAGTTAATTAAAATGTATGATAAGTATTTGCAAAATTTGAAGGAAGTTGGCAATTGTGATGTTTTTAAGCAAAAATTAAAAAATGGGGTGACAGTTTGATATTGGTGTCTAGTAAGAGTCATTTAATGAAAGCACAGTTTTCTCAATGAATTGTTCAAAGTGAGGCTTTTTGTTTGTCAATCTGAAGTTCTTAGTTTATGAACTTCTTTGGTTCATTTTTCTGTGTAATGCTCTAAAATAGGCTTCTCTTCATGGTATGGCTAGCATGGTTTTGTACTTCATCAAGTTCATACAATAGACAGAGCCCATATATTACGCATTTAACTATATTCAAAAGCATATTCAAAGATGTTCTTTTGTAGGATGATGTTCAGTCTTCCCAAGATTCTTTGCCACGCAAGACCGTTATAAAGCTGACATCGCAACCAAGGTAAATAATTTACATATTACTTGATGTAGCAATGTGTGTGTTTTCACTTCCTAGTAGGTTTTTATGCCATTTCATTTTTTTAACTTTCACTCAAAATAAAGGTAAAATTAAAAAAAAAAATCATAAAAAATTAAGAAAGGTAAAAAGGTAGTCTGGCATGTTATACTAATACCATTATGCCTAGTTGAAGGAGGACACAGTACTTAAACTATAGAAGTTTCTTACATACCACAGATTTAGCTGCAGCAAGTAATCTGTTTACTATGTGTTTTTACTGTATTGTTATCCTTCATAAATTGTGCTTGAGAGCAGCAGTAGAAAATTCTAATTAAGCATAATTACAGCTGGCTCAATTAACACTGTGAGCAAAACCTTAGTTGTTACAAGTTGTGGTTTAACCCCAGCTGGCAACTAAGCACTACACAATTGCTCACTCACTCCCTCCCCTCAGTGGGATGGGAGAGACAATCAGAAAAAGTAAAACTCATGGGTTGAGATAAAGACAGTTTAACAGGACAGAAAAGGAAGGGAAAATAATTAAAAAATAGCCAAAACAAGTGATGCACAATACAGTTGCTCACTATCTGCTGACCAATGCCCAGCCACTCCCCGAGCCACAGTGTCCCCTGGACAACTCCCCCCAGTTTATGTACTGGCATGGAATATCCCTTTGATTTGTTTGGGTCATGTCCTTGCTGTATCTCCTGTCAGCTTCTTGTGCACTCTCAGCCTCTGTTGTCAGGGCAGTATGAGAAGCTGAAAAATCCTTGACTTAGGATAAGCACTACTTAGCAACAACTAAAATATCAGTCTGTTATCCACAATATTATTGTACTAAATCAAAACACAGCACTGTGCCAGGTACTTGGAAGAAAATTTAACTTTATTCTAGCCAAAACAAGGACAATAAGGCCTAAAATACACAATATATAAATGCTGGATTGTCTTTAGAATTCAAGTAGAAGATAAACTAGGACAGTTTTCTCTCAATTTCAACTTTCCATTGTATTGAGGGCTTACTTTATTTATATGTAGTTCTAGAGTATTCAGTTGAAACTGACATCCAGCCATCCCCATTAACATTCAATATCCAACCTGAAAGAACTTAAACATTCAGCAAAAGTTGACTAATCCAAATAAAGTAGATAAGATGTATGGATATGAGACCTGCTATGCGTGTAAATCAAGAAATACAAGGGTTTTATTTACAGAAGAGAGGATTTAAGATTCATTTTTAAAGTAGTGAATGCTATTTTTGCTGATGTTAGTGTTTAATTTTTCTAGTTCTAGCAAGTGGCAAGCTAATAAAACTTAGTTGTGTAATTCATGAAGGTGACAGACTATTCAGCAGCACAACTGCTACTGTTAAAAAATTCTAATCAGATTCTTTGAAGAAATGGGTGAAGTTTTTGGTTCTTGTGAGCTTTTGGGGGAAGCTGTTTTCAGTCCTCTAAAGTTAAATGTATATAAAAGTGTGTGTATATGTAGTTTTAATATAAACATGTTTCTAGAGCAGTCATGTAGATATACATACTATTTAAAAAAAAAAAAAATACAAATTTTCTTCTCTTATTGGAGTGCTAGATAGGTGCTAATAGATTATCTTAAATTTGTCCAAAATGGTGAAAACCTCAGGTGCCTAGCTATTTGATTTAACTAAAATTTTTTTACCTTTTCCAAATATCCCCTCAGATGTCTTCACTGGGAGAGGCTTGTATGTATTGTATATAAATACTTGGCTGGAGACAAGTTATAATGTAGACTTTCATTGTCATTTGAGTGTAGCTTTAATGCTTTTTCTTTCCTTGCTTGGGTTAGCTCTTGAAATTTCCCTCATACCCGTTCCATCCCCTGATAAGGCTTTTGTTTGCTTCCACTGTTCCACTTCTCTCTCTGCATAGTAAATTTTTCCATTTTTAGGGTTTATACGTTTCAGGCATTTGCCTGCCTTTTTTTTTTTTTTTTTCCTTCTTAGTTGTACATTAAGTATATATATATATGTGTTAAGATTTTTTATTTTAAAATTAATATTATCCTAGCAGCCTTTTGCATCTGTTCTCTAAACATTTCTTAACTTACTAAGAAGATAAAATTGGTAGATAATTGCTGATTTTAACTTGTCTAGTATCGTGAAGATACCATACAGCCGTATAAGATGCAGTTTGTGTTCCAAAGACTGTGTAATCAGGATTATGGGAGATAGAATAAAGAGGAAAAAATGTGAGGGAGAAGGGGAGGAGAAAGGTTACAAGGGAATATTGATACTGCTGCCTGAAAACCTGTTTTTTTAACGAATTCCTGTTTGGAAACACTTTAAAGACAATGCTTAAGTGCACACTACTTCATGTTTCCTTTGTTGTTAAAATTTTCATTTGAATATCTGTATGTTCAATTATTTTCTCTTACAAAAATAGGCTTAGTCTTTCTAGGCTTCTAACTTGGTCTCTGGTTGTAGTCTGAATCTCCACTAACTTTGTTACCATTGTGAAAAGTGGTATGTAAGCTGAGACAGTAACTTTTGCTTAAACCTAGTATATGAATATTATGACTGTGCATCTGAGTTTTCTAGGTAACCGGTAAAGATGTGAAAAGTTAATTTCAGTGGACTCTTAAAGTCAACTTGATAAAAGGATTACTGTGCTTAAATTTCAGAGTTTGAAGCTTCTAAGACAGAAACTGATATTTCATTTAAAATTTTGAGGCATCAGCAGATTGAAAATACATATTCTCATAAAAACTTTATTATTTGGTTATCCTCCATTCATGATAGTCTTTATTGTTCATGTCTGTAGCATGAAATCTCTAGATTTCTTTCTGTTAATGTTTTCTAATGTATATACCATTATGTGGGATAGAAATTAAGTCAATGTAACTGGCAAGGTGTTACTTTTCTTTAATTGGCTGAATACTTAGCTTTTTGTAGTTTTGCATTTCCATGTCAGATTTTTAAAAATAGCTGTATCATAAATTGATTATTCTTATAGAAGTTTGGTTCATATTACCTATAAATTTAGAAGAACGCTACTGATGGGAAGCTCGTAAGATAATGTTTTTTTGTCTAATTATTTACTCAATCATTTTACAATTTTTTTTTTCTCATTTTACTGAGTTGATACTGTCAATTTCAAATCTAACCTCCTTTTTAACAGGAAAGTAGTTGGTAGTATGCTTTTGCCTCTCTCATCCAGCCTTTCTGATGTTTTTTAATTGTTCTGATTTTTTTAAATGTTCTGATGTTAAGTGTTCTCTTCACTGCTTGTGAAAGTTGTAGTCAGTACTGAAAACTGGTTGGACTGACTGTACAGGAGAGCTAGCACAACTTTGTTACACATGGAGGAAAAGAAAAGAGGGGAAAAAGAATATATCTTTCAGTAGTCATTGTTCTAGCACGAAGTAGCTTCAGGTTGTTGTGTAGTTGAGAAGTATCTTTGAAACTGCTTCTAAGTAGGTACCACTTTTAATATATTTGGTATCATTTTCTTCCTCACCTATGCATCTCTCTTCTGTAGTGTGCTGTTGCCATCTTTTTATGAATCCGTAGTTTTATAAAAGCAGTAATGGGTTAATTTCAATGAAATCGTTATGTAGAGTATTTTAAATCTTACTATGACTGCCACCTTAGAGAAACTAAGTGGTCTTATGATCAGGCTTTTGAGTACTGAAGTTACAGCATGTTTAATTACACTAAACCCCTTTTAACTGATAAAGAAGTTGCATGCTTTTTTAAAAAATTGTTACTTCCACCTGAAAAACAAAGCTTTCACAAGATAATATCCAACTAGATATGGGACTACTTTTGTTCTGAAATTAACAATTATTACAGTGTGCATTTAGAGACAAAGCCTATGAGTGTGCTGATAAATTGGATACTGCATTTTACTTCTGTGAGAGCCCTGTCCTTTGATATCATCATTGGTTCTTGGGAATAGTCAGCCAGATGTACTTCCCAAAAAGACTTGCACTCGCTGGGCTCAGGTGCGGGTGTGGGTTTGAACCTCTTGCTATCCAGTTTAAGCAGTCAGCTGTTGATGAAGGGTATGTCAGCATTGTGAGCGGCAAGATTTCCCAGCTATTTCTATCTACAGTGTTTCCTGGAGACAGCATTACAGGGGAATGTGATACGTGACCAAATAACTGAATTTGTGGTGGTGTGTGTTTTGGTGGTTTTGGTTTTGTTTTTTTTTCTCACTTCTCAACCTTCATGTACCTGGCTCGGGAGTTTTAGTACTGAGCTCCGTTGCACTCTACAATCATGGTGTAAGGCATCCCCTCTGAACTGAAGATACTATGATATTGAAAGATTTTTTAAAATCATTGATTTAGGATTATTTTTACTGCTAAACCAGCAACACTTATAATTTGCCTGCAAATTACTGTTGTCAGCTAGTTGTAGAGGAATGATATGATATCCTTCTTATCAGGCTAGTTTAATAGCTTAGCAGACACATTTTCCACTAGTTGAAATATTCAGGTTGCTTAGGAGATTCTGAGTAGGATACACTGTAATCAATGATTTCTTCAAAGATCTGTCAGAGCAACAAGCAGTTTATTGACATCCACCTTATAAAAGAAAGTTTCATTTTTCCAAATAGTGGATACAAAATAATCTGGACTATTATCCTTACTTCAATATATATGAGCAGGTTTTGGCATAAGGTTGTAATTAACAAAGGTTTGGCGTAAATTGTGTTCATCCTGTTAGGTCCAAAATTTGCGATCTTTTTTGGGAAAGAAAATTTTTATTTACTTTTTAAGATTTTGCATGTTAGTTACCTTTTCAAAAATTCACTTGGCAGGTGTATCCACTGCTTTCTCAACACAGCACTATAATGTAGAAATCAAAGCTACATTATTAAGTTTAATGTGTGATAAAGAATAATATACAAAGGTCAAAAATCCTTGGCAGAGCAGTGTGTTACTGTATTTGGTTGGAAGATGAGAGCAAGGATAACTTGCCTGAGAAGGAAACTTTGTTGGTGTTGGTGTGATATGCCAAAAAG